AGTCTTCGCTAAGGGACTTACCTGTTTAATCGGCAAAGCCCTGAATGTGCTGGAAGTGTTCAGCTTCTTGCCCACAATATCCACATACACGTCGGACCGTTCAGGGACGATGATATTCTTCAAAGACCCACTGGGCAAATCGGCAAAATCAGTAGGCAAAAACAACTTCAGAAGCGCGCCCCTAGTAGCCATCGAGGTGTAGAAATAGTCGCTTAAATTATTCGCAATGGACACCGATAGGCCCCTAGCAGGTCCTGCCCCCATAAACATCTTGATTGACCCAGAAGCGGTCGCCTTGTTGCCCCTCGAGAGCCTAAACGAATAATCCTGCTGCTGTTGATCAAATCATCCCCCTCATACTCACAAGGCGGCCTCTGGAGTATCGCGCACATAATTGAAGACGCAACACAGCCCACTATCAGTGAACCTCATTTGAAACAAGTCGGTGCAAGTATAGGAAATAGAGTTCCAAGTGCAGTTGTGCAGCAAATATTCGCACGGAGTTACCAAGGAGGCCAAGCGACGAATCATGTCTTCTTCACTGGTTCCTCCATCCAACTGATCCAAAAGATCCTGCAAAGTCTCCAAGTCTTCAGCTCCAACGTTGCTGTAGTCGTAAAGGTTGCCCAGAAGTCGGGTCATGTTCAGCAGCTTGACCCGACCCAGATTGGATACGGTGCTTCTACAATACAGGGATTAAGAAGACTTTTCCAACTGAAGCTGCAGATAGTCCATACAGTTTATTTGCCAGCTCTACAGCTCGATGTTTGCTGATTTTATTGAACTCGCAAATCGCTATGCCAGGAAACTGGATTTCCGTGATCGGAACAGGCGCTTCGATGTTAACGTACACGGACTCCGATCTGGAAGCTTCCAGGATCGTTAAGGTGGTGACAACAGTGCCAGCAATGCCGCCCAAGAAGCACAACACCCACAAAAGTCTGGAAAATCAAGAAGATTTTTTTTTGCCGGTCAGGAGACTCGTTCTAGTCATTTTTCCGTCGGTTTAAAGGCATCGGCGTGATATTGCGCATACTTTAAAGCTACGTTCATCCATCCATCCATCCATGAAAACAGTAATATGTTGGTTCAAACAGAAGGAAAAATCTTTATCAAAGTTATGTTGAGACCTATTTGTGGATGCTTCTAAAGTCCCTCTACCACCACGATTAAAATGTAAAATGCTGAAAAAATCCTCATAAAATTGACTTGAAAAAACTATCAAGAGTTATCATATCCTATTTAACCAACTTAACAAATTCACGATATTCTATTTCGCAGCCAAGCATAAGGAAATATCTAATTATGCTTACGCGGTACATAATGTTCTTTAGTTTCACAGATAGCATGTAAACTCATCAGCATTAATTCAGTATATATTCTCACAAGCCTGTAATTACCAACAGTTGTATCTTGAAGCTGAAATCCATATCTATCGAAATAAAAATTGTCTTAAAAACTCCCTTTCCCAGGAAGTGATTTTAACTGGCGCAGTCGGTAGGATTTGTCAACGAAGATCGCGTGTATCAAATCCGGAAAGATTTGTCAACGAAGAGTCGTGAAAAAATTCTTTAAAACGGTCGTCGTGTGAGTATCAAAAACGATCATCGTATAAGCATCGTGGAAGAATTTTCAAAACGGTCGTCCCGCATCGTGCGTGATAAATTCGGTTCGTTTCAACGATTTGTGACAAATTCGAACATTTCGTTGATTGGCAGGGCAACTCAAGGCCAGAACGTGAGGAACAAGCATCGTCCGATCAACTTTGGTGTGAGAAGAAGGGAACAAGCATCGTCCCACCTCTCATAGATTAGCCAGGGAAGAGGCAAGCATCGCCCTTCCTATTGGACCCTAGCAACTAAGGAAGACACAAGAAAGAAATCAAAGAAATGAAAACAACATTGGTACTTCTATCACTGTAAGTTCAATTTTCCAATTTCCATTTTTTTTGAACAATTGAAATATTGCGCATTTTCCGTTTTTGTTTACACAAGAAGCAAATATATTCTTTCGCTCACCATAATTTTAAGCTCTAATTTAAGAAGACAAAAAAGAAAAATAAAAATAAAAACAATGGCACACCCTGATTTTGCTTTGATCAAATATCAAGCAGATAACATTCCCCTATTTGACGGCAACGCTAAGCAAATCAACAGATTTATAAACGCTTGCGACAATTTTCTCAATAACCATCGAAATAGAACCAATGAGGACGCACACATAAATTCTTGTCTTTTTGACAATATCCTTTGCAAATTAGTAGGCAGAGCCGCTGATTTAATAGTTTCCCGTGTTGAACTTCAATCATGGGAACTTGTTAAACAAGCTATCATTCACACATTTGCAGACCAAAGATCAATTGATTGTGTAATGCAAGATATAATCACCCTCAAACCTTCGAAAAACGAAACAGCCCAATAATTTGGCTTGCGTTTACAAGACGTACGCAGTCTCCTATTTCCAAAAATCAATATGAGTAATGAAACTCGGGAGATCAAACTATTAAAAATATCAGAATATCAAAAGCTTATTCTCAGAACATTCACTAGTGGCTTAAGCTATCACATGCAACTAGTGGTAAGACTTAAAAACCCAAAAACCCTTGAAGAAGCCATGAGTTTCGCTCAAAAGGAAGAAAATTTCATTTATTACAAAAATCGAGTCAATAATGAAAATAAAACGGTAATTAACATTCCAAATCAATTACCCAAACCAAATGTATTTTCTCCAAACTTTAGAAATACACAGAGACATACATTACCCATTTTCAGACCAAGCTTTCAAAATAATCGACCCATGTTTTTCCGTGCAAATCCAAACCCTTTCAGACCTAATTTCAATCAATTTTCAAATGAAACTACATCACTTTGATGATATAATTTCATCTAAGGCCGGAGGAGTTATGATATCCTATTTAGCCTACTCAACAAATTCACGATATTCTATTTCGCAGCCAAGCATAAGGAAATATCTAATTATGCTTACGAGGTACATAATGTTCTTTAGTTTCACAGATAGCATGTAAACTCATCAACATTAATTCAGCATATATTCTCACAAGCCTGTAATAACCAACAGTTGTATCTTGAAGCTGAAATCCATATTAATCGAAATAAAAATTGTTTTAAAAACTCCCTTTCCAAGGAAGTGATTTTAACTCAAGGAACCTTATGCGCAATCAGATAAAATATGGAAAAACACCAACCTGTTAAGCTTGGTTTCTCTGCTAATAAACGCCACAGCAGGAATAGTGGTATTTTGGCAAAATCGCCTCCAAATGCTTGCAGCTTCGTCCATTTTCCTCCCGTCCAATATTGGGCAAAAGCGTGACGATATCGAGTGCCATTAGTGGAAAACATGAATATTTAGATGCTATCGGTGCAAAACGACATCAAATCTAATGGCCAAACATGGCAAATATCGATAAAGTGAGGAATTAGTTTAACGAAAGCGTCGAAACACCGCAAATCCGAGCTTGATCAGGAACAATGCGAATTCAATAACGTTCATTATGCTGAAGCCGAGGAAAATGGACACATAGCCGCCAAATGTGCCTAAAAATTCCTTAGTTCTTACTCAATTAACAGTGTTAACTAAGGCTTACTGAGAGCTTCATACCAGGTCACCATTTGAATTTTCCTGTACGAGTTCGTATAGGGTCTATTGGTGAACACGTGAATCTTCGAACTGTTCCTTTGAAGGCAAACCATCACAAACTTCCTGCCACAGATCTGCTTCATCTACTTACGGATAGCGCGAGTCTGGATTGAAAAACTCAAAGTAATTGGTATCGATCCCATAAGTGGCTTCGATGCAGTTGTCCACGCATGCGGGACACAAAAGAGCCTCTTCATTTTGAATAAGTTTCTGGAATTGCATCTCCTGGTTCTTGTAGAAGTGGTACGTATGGAATCGGGCTGAAATCACCCAAGTTATCCAGCTTCCAGCCATTGATGGCCAGCGTACCTTCATGCTCTTGCAAACAAGGAATATCCAGCAGGTTGCAAACGCTCACAGACGACAGGTAAGATTTACTATTAGTGGGCACTAAAACGGGGGCGCATCTACAGTAATCCAGTATGCCTTGTACTCGGCAGAGCACCAAACAGTTGCTCATCGTGTAGTTCCCAAACTCAGTTGAAACGGAGTCGGCAAACAAGCAGCGTCTCTGTAAATCCCCCATTGCAAGCGTTCTTAATACTCTTATTATTATAATTGTTCGGGTTTAATGCCGATTGAAAACTGCTAAAGCATATCCTAATTCATAAGAGTCCTCTACCTTCTACCTCACTGTGAAAGGTATGTTTTGGGAGAAGGACTTGTTAAGGACGTATTGACTTGTTCGATTGCGCGTTTCCTGAACTGCCTCACATCAATTTTTCAAACTGTGATAAACAGCCTGCATGTTTTGAACGGGTTTAGCGGATAAATCAATACCTCTTTCTGCTGGTTGGATTTCAACGAATCTTCCGTGAGTAGCAGGTTGACCTCCACGTCCACAAACACGTCGGCCTGCTCTTGAACGACCACCTGCTTAACAGCGCCGCTGGCTGTATCAGGAACGTTATTGGGCGAAAATATCTTCAACAGAACGCCCCTGGTGGCCATCGATGTGTAGAAATAGTCAGTCAGATTATTGTTAACTATCAGCGACAAGCCGCTGGCCACTCCGATCCCCATAAATTGCCTAGGAGTGTCGACAAGCTTCGCCCCTCTATCTGAGATTCTGAACAAAGAAGCAATCCAGGCTTTCATCCAATTTTCCACTTACATCTTGCGCTCTGCAGTTTCCAGCGGATAGTTAAAAGTGCAACATAGTCCTGTATCGGTGAGCCGCGTCTCAAACAAGTCGGCGCAGTCGTAAGGCTCAGAATTCCAGATGCAAGTTTGCAACAGCTCTTCGCAAGGGGTCATCAGATCGGCCAAGCGCCGGATAATTGTCTCTTCAGTGGTCCCATTGTCGTATACGTTGAGAATGGTCTGCAACCGTTCGAACTTATTCATCTGGTTAATGTTGCGGTCGTACATGTTGCCGATCAGTTGGGTCAGGTCCAGAAGCTCACTGAACGGCAAACTTGAAACTTCTGTCCTGGAACAGAAACGGGCCTAATGTTTACGAGAAAGAGCAGGCCACATTTAGCAAGAAACGCAGAATGCTATACGATTTTTTGGAAGTTTTGAGGAGCACCATTTAAAAACTAACCACAATTACGTGGCAACGCGCTGTGTAACGGCAATGGAACAGTTATTATTATATTAAGGAGATACGATGAGGAGAAAGTTTTCGATCTTCGAAATGCCTCGATCCACTCTACCTCTACAGTTCCGTTTAATGAGCCAACATTTGACCCAGACCATATTCTGTCTGTGGAAGAGGCGACTATTGAAATCAACTTGGCGTTTAAAAGCCTTAAAAGAGGATTTGCACCCAGGAAGGAAGCTCTGCAAAATGAACTTAGTATGAAAATTTTTGAAAATCTCCTGAAGGTGGTCAACATTCGACACTTTCGAGGTATTTTGCCTCAACGGATCCCTACAAAATCCAAAAGGCGATGATTTCCTAACTCATCCCAAAGCAAAGAAGTTTTTCTTACAAAAAGTCGAACTCCCATTCGCGAACGGCCAGAAAAACGCGCTTAGTTTGAAAATTTCTGAAAAATGTCCTGATTACGTTGAAAATTCGCAACTCTCAGTGTAACTGCTTTCAACTTTTGCCTACAAAGTTCAATAGTCGGGAATATTGTGGCTCATTCCAAAGTTGATAAATTGTGGCTTTGCGGAAAAAGTGTTGTTTGCTTGACGAAAAACGCGCTTGGTTTGAAATATTCTGAAAATTCGAAACTTTTAGAGTGGTTTAATTGAGTTTTTTCGTTCAAAAGTCTACAATTTCCTCACTTATTTCAGAACGAAGAAATTGTTTTAAAAAAACCACAACATTTGGATTTGAATGGCGCTTCTGAAAAACGAGCTTAGCTTGACAACACTGCAAAATGTCCTGAGGATGGTCAACATTAAAAACTTTCTGGGCATTTTGCTTCAATATTTCCTTAGAAAATCTGAAAGTCGATGATTTCCTAACTCATCCCAAGGTAAAGAATTTTGTTTATAAGAAGTGCAGAACTAACATTCATAACCGGCTACAAAAACGCGCTTAGTTTGAAAATTTCTGAAAAATGTTCTGATTATGGTGAAAATTCGCAACTCTCAGTGTAATTGCTTTCAACTTTTCCCTACAAATTTCAATAATCGGGAATATTATAGCTCATTCCAAAGTTGAGAATTTGTGGCTTTGAGGAAAAAGTGCTGTTGGCTATAAAAAAAACGCGCTTGGTTTGAAATATTCTGACAAATATTCTGAAAATTCGAAACTTTTAGAGTGGTTTATTTGATCTTTTTCGTTCAAAATTCAAAAGTCTAGAATTTCCTCACTTCAACCAGAACATTGGCGCTTCTGAAGACCGAGCTTAGCTTGAAAACATCTGGAAAATGTCCTGATGATGGTCAACATTTGAAACCTTCAGGGTATTTTGTCTCAATATTTTCCTACAAAATCCAAAAGTCGATTATTTCCTTTGACTTTTTAAATAAAATGACGATGACTGAAAATTTGTCAATTTTTTATAATAAAAGTATTTGGTTATTAATATGTTCACAAGAGAGTAAAAAGATGTTGGAGTTAACTTGAAACACCAACATAATACAAAAAAATCATATAGAGAAAAAATGTATTAATGCAGTTATAATGAGGTAAAACTTGACTGGTCCTTAAAGTGCCAACGTATAGCGCACCCTCAAACTTACAAATTTTCAGCCAATTGGATCGCTCGTTGTTTGCTGATTCTATTAATGTCGCAAACGGCAATAGCTGGAAACTCCAGATCGGTGATTTCCAAGCTGGACGCATCCAACGTCATGTAGAAAGCATCTCCATTCCACCCGGCTAAAATATCCATAGTCACATAGACGACGCACCCCATCCCTACCAAGATGTACGTTATCCAGAAGATCCTGGAAAATCGAACCAAGGCAAGTCCAAAAAAACCACCCAACCAAATGGGAAAAATACTTTCCAATTGGCGATCCATCGAAGATGAATCCAAATGCGGGCGCATAAGTGTTTCGGCAAAATTGCGCCCAAGTTTCGCGTATAGTCGATGGGGTCTTCGCCTTCATGGCGTGTTCAGATGACATTAAAGTCCATTGAATCACGGGGCTTACCGAAAACATGCACACGTGGCCTAGATGGTGCTGATAAGCCCCCAAAAGCCGATAATTTGAACAAAACATGGAACACTTGTTCCGATCATTAACTATTTATTGGCTGCTGACGCAACAGGAAGCACACAGAACTGCTGGAATGGGGAAAAGCGTGTTAACTTGGCCTAAATTTTCACGTGGGTTGTCATGTGAGTTTTGAGATGATGAGCCCTTCGGAAGGATTTGCCGCAGTTCATGCAAAGAAACGGTCGGTCGCCCGAGTGGATTTTCACGTGCTGCCTGAAGGTCTTCGGGCAGGCGAAGGCTTTGCAACATGTCGGACAAGTGAAAGGCTTTTCCCCGGTGTGTTGCCTGGAAGGGGGCGATTTTTAGGCAAGTCATCGCTTGGAAAACCCACTGACCTGAGATGAATGTTCAGATAGTAAGGCAAAAGGAACCGCTTGGGGCAGTAGGCGCATTTATGGGGCTTCTCGTCCGAATGGGCCTTAACATGACGCGCCAGCACACTGGCATGGGCAAACCGTTTGCTGCAGATTCGGCAGAGAAAAGGCCGCTCGCCTGTGTGGACCCTTTGGTGCGACTTCAACCTACCGCTGGACACAAACCTACAATCTAAGGCTACGGAATGCTGTTGCATTGCTCCAGGTTATCGTCACCTAAGGTTGCAGGTTGGGCACTCAAAAGGCCGCTCTGCTAAATGCCGCTTCACGTGTAGCCACAGCGTGGAATTATGCCGGAAACTTTTGCCGCATTCGGAGCAAAGGTACGACTTTGTCGCCAATCCATCCGCCTTTTTGGGCCGTTTTTCTTGGGACACTGCGTGCTTTTGTCTTAGATGAGCGGCAAGGCTGCCCGATTGGGTAAACGAGCCTTGGCAAATGGGGCATTTAAAGGGTTTTTCCCCGGTGTGTGTCGATAGATGCCGCTTAACATCCGTTGCCCTAAAATTGCATATTAGCTACACGGTGGGCCAACGAAACCTAGTAGGTACTTTACATCATTCACCTGTACCTACTCTAAACAGTAGTGTGATCAACCGCCTTGTTTGGCGTGTTTTGCGCAACTAGCAAGAATGATTGCTCGATATGGGCGGGATGGTTACATAGGCGGACTCACTTCAAGTCGTTTAAGTGAACTTTTGCTCTTACCTGCTAAAGCTTTTCAAGCAAATGTGGCACTTCAGCTCAACAGCATCAGAATGCACCTTCAGGTGCCTGTTAAGGGCATACTTTGTTGTGCAGACTTTCGCACAAAAGCCACAGTTAAAGCTGCTTTCTGGTTGCGCATTGCCACTATCACAGCCTAAATACTCAAAATCACCGGGTTCCTGTTCCAAATTGGTGTCGTTTGGTCCCAAATTGTCAGTTTTATCACCCATTAGCTCGGCGCGGCTTTCCAGACTGTCCAAGCCGAAAGCGCTTTCAGCTTCAGTCCTTCTCATTTCATCAGCTTCATTTAGCTGCTGCAGCTTCGTTTGGCTTTCGAAGCACATCTCGCGAAACACGTAGCAAATCGCCAGATTTTCCAGGCAACTGTTGCATATGCTTTGAGGCAACGAGTCCGCAGGATTCACCTGGAAGAACAACATTAGGGCGTTATATCTTCGATTTTACTGCAACTGGAGGCAAATCGCGAAGATTAATCGATTGAGAAATATTTTCAAACCTTACATTATGTTTTATGGTTTTGTGGTTTTACGGTATACTTTATATTGTACGGTTAGCATTAAAGGCTTTAAAAAGGCCTTAAAATTTAGGTTTTTTGTGTTATATCGCCTCCATCCGGCGAGATGGAGAAGCAGGCTGATTTTTGAGGAATTTTACCAAACAAACCCTTAAAACGATTTCTCAATGAAGAGAAGAGCAGATTTTCTACAGAAGTGTTTTGCTCGAAAGCTTACACATGCACTATTGGATGGTTTATTTAGACTCTCACTGTCTTGGACAAATATTTTTTTGGCAACGTTTCGGGTAGTTATATCTCCAACCGTTTTCAGCTTTTGCCAGAAAGAAGCATTTTGACATTACCCTGAAGAGGAAGATTTACCTTAAATCCAACAAAAGTTGAAAATTAACGACTCGAACGTTTAAGGCACTGATGAAGAAATCTCTGAATTGGGCGTTGGAACAAACAAAGAGTTTCCAAAATGTAATTGCGCAGAAAATGTTTCTTCCACATCGCTGATTCTGGAATCATTCTGCAGATAAATGGCTGCTTTAAGATCCTGCTAAGTTGAAGTTCTAGATCGAGTTTGAGTGAACTTTGAAAGCATATAAAATCTGTGTTTCGAACTGGCTGATTTGGCCCTGTTAGAAGTTGGTCTAGCGTTTTCAAACGTTCATTGCGAAGAAACTAATCAAGTTAGCGCATTGAATTTGGCAGGGTTTAGAAGAGAAAATCTTGCTTTAAGACTATGGAAAGTTGCACTTTGATACGTAATTTGGAGAAAATGTGACAACATTTTGAATGTATGTTTGGAACAGTTGAATGCGACTTTTCTGATTCTACCTACTCGCTGTAGAAAATTTAATTAAAAATAAATCAACGGAGTTAGAAAGCGAATTTTGACGCCATTTTAAACGGAAAATCTTGCGCAATTTCTCGATAAAGCTGCATGGTAATCGAGAAATTGGATGAATTCTGACCATATTTTAAAAAATTAGTACCGAAATCAGTTAAATCGGCTTTATTACTTCCAACTACGCTATTTGAAAAATTAACTACTTAAACACCTGTTAAGAAAAACACCTAATTTTCTTCGTCAGAAACCTCGAGTAGAAACAAAATTTAAATTTTCACTGAACATCGACCAAACATGGCTCAAGGGTGATTTTTGCAATTTTTTGTATTTCAAAGCAACCGCTATTTTAAAAATTCACCATGAGAACCTCCAAGCAGATACAGATTTCAAACCGTCACTGAGTGTAGAGCCAACGTGGCTCTATTCAATAGGCAAAGCTGGAACCTCCATCGGGCTCAAGAGTAACTTTGGGAAATTTTTGAAAAATTGCTTCTCAGAGCCGCGTTTAAAACAATGTAGACTCTATTTCATTAATTCGCTCTAAAATGCCCCAAGCTTATAAAAATTTGAAATTTTTACTGAACATAGAGCTCTATTGAACAGGCAAATTTCGAATATATTTCAGGCTCAGATGCAATTTTGGAAATGTGCATCAGTATCAATCTCGCGATTTAAGCAATTGCCTTTCCTCAAAAATGTTTTTATCGCAACGTTTCGGGTGGTAAAATGCAATGAATTTCCATGAAGGAGTTGGAGTAAATAGCCTTATTCTATCTAGACCTTTTGCAGCTAAAATTTCAACAATTTGCCAGCCTTCGCGTGCGTCATTAAGCCCCTAAAATGCTGCCTGCATGGGAAACCGTATCCAATGCCTTTGCAAAGGCCTAAGACACCCCCACCAAAAATTTGCTATACATATTTAGCCCATTCCTCTATTCAATCCATAACCAAATACGTCGATTGCATGCCCCCAGGAGCCCCATTTCCGTGCAAACCCAACTTTCTACTAGTGTGCAAATTATGAATAAGAGGCCAAAATCTGGTTAGATTCGGAAGCATTCCCTTGCGCCACTTACTTGAATAGAGGTGCATTGGAATAGAATCGAATCTAAGGGCTCGTCCTTACTGGACAAGCTCAGAATCGAGAACAGGGACGTTAAAGGGGGCTGTGACGACATGCAGGTTCTGCACATATCTGGGGCCTTTTTGAGGCCCTGCAGTGCTTCACTGCTCATAATGTCAAAGGGGAGTTAATTCGGAAATTCGAAGAAGCCCCAAAAGAACCCATTGACGTTTTAGGTTATGTGGGTTGCTGACGCTTTTGACACCTGACGGATAGGGTGGGCCAAGGTTGCCACGTGTTCTCAGAGGGTATGCACAGTCGGGTGCAGATCCGTAACGTTTCATGCTTGATTCAGAGCGATTTCTCAGGAAAACTCAATCTATCGGCAACTGCTGATAAAAGCCAATATTTACCATTTGCCTCAACTTCTTAAATGCTGCTCAAAACAAAGCAAGAATAATTAATTCAGTGCACAGCTTCAGGACGGATTGCAGGGTTTGTTTCCCATAGCTTTTAGCCTTCTAGTAGATCCCTAAGGGCTTCTCAGCTTCGGTACGGGTTGTGGTTCACGCTTACTTTCTCTTTATGTGTGCGTTTGGTGTCTCCTTTTCGGCTTACCGGCCGATTTAATCTGTACTCCGAACGGCGTTTGATCGCTAACATAAGCCTTTTTTTCTTAAGATGCAGTCTCAGCTAGCCGCCGCACTGTTAGGGCAAAATACTAATGCAACTTCTACTCCCAATCACTTAGAGGACGATGAGAATAATAGTTTACGCGAGGAGGACACTGAGGTGGAACCGGAAGAGTTTGACGAGGTCTCTGGTGTATGAGCTTTCCTAGAGTAGATCTGATTTGCATGTAGCGGGGAACTAATCAATGCTTGTGGCTCTGCCCTGTTCACCCCCACAGAACCGCCTAAACCAGTTATTCAAACTAAACATGCGATTCCTTTGCAGGAAACCGGCAGTGAGACTCCTCCAGAACTCCCTATTGAGAATGGCAGCGAAAAGCCTGTGGAAGTCAGGCAAGTGGTTGGCAAAGACCCCAGCAATCGCACCGTCACCCTGCAGATGCTTCTATCTGCGGGCATTCTAAAGCCTGGAGCTGGAGCGATGACAATCGAGTACCTTGTATGAAAGCAGCCGCAATTTGAGCTCCCACTCAGCGTTTTCTGCTTTCCAGGGACAAAAGTTCGTTGGCGATCTTCTAGACGACGGCAAAATCCGCAGCCAGGAAACCGACATAATATTCGCTTCGCCCAGCGCCTGGGCCATTGCTTGCAAGCGTTTCATCAATCCGGAAAAAAAGTCGGGATGCGGTTGGGCCTCTGTTAAATACCAGGGCAAGAAGCTGGACGCCTACAAGAACGTCTGGTACAAGAAGAAAAAGGAGGAGGAGAAGGAGCTGGAGAAACAGCTGGAAAAGGAGCGTAGGTAGTCATCGGGACTTAAGTAAATCCGCCACTAACTGAGTGATTTTAGTTGCTGCTGCCAACAGTTTGAACTTGGAGCAGCTGCTGAAGTCGTCGGCATCCATTCCGACCACCTCCAACAGCACGACAACAACGAATACTGCAATGTTTCAGCGATTTGTCGTCAAACACAACACTATAGCCAATCGGACTATGACACAGTAAGAAGTTCTCATATCAGGTGTTCTTTTTATTCCAGGTCTATTGTTTGCAGCATCCTTCTTCACAGTGGTGATTCGTCCTCTGCAATCCTCACTATTCTTCCTTCGTTCATTCTACTTATGTACTCATTCCATTCGCACTTACTGCTGCATTGTCGCTCCATTCTGTTTCGAACGTTTTTCCTGTAAATCTTCTTAGGGGCAATTTTACTTTTCACTCCTGGTTTTATTTTGCACAGGATTTTAATATTGCGGTCCCTTGCTTTATTATTTTGTGCATAATTATGTTGAAAAGAAGTGGGCTCAGTGAAGTTTCCATTGATTTTGACTGGGATATCGCCGAAACTGTATAAATCCTCTATGGTTTAAATGCGATCGAATACCTTCTTCAGGTCTATGAAACTCCTGCGGACTGGTTTGTTGTATTCAATCGACTTTTATTTTTATTATCGGCTGTTTTTCCATCCCTCTTTTTAGACACAACAGAATAATGGTTCTCGTTCGCCATTCGTCGGGAATAGGGTGTTTTCACTTTTTTTAATGTTGATATATAGAAAGTAGTTATGGCAAACATTACACTGACATAATTTTTTTGGCAAAAAAGTCTCCATAATAATTTTAAGGCAAATTTAAATTCAAATCAGATATTTTTCGCCAAAAACGCCGAATCCATGTCATCGGTTGCCTATCCCGATTGTGACGTAGCAGGTCATATCAACAAAGTGTCTCGTGTTTATTTTGTTGTTTTCGCAGCTTTGTTTTATTAGTTAAGTTATTGCGATTATCATTATTTTATTGATTATTATTATATTGCACAATGGAGAATAGTAAGGATCACAAAATAAGTGCTGTTTTGTGCCAGGATGCCTCAATAAGTGCTCCAAACAAACTCTTTCCAACCGTTCCCCGTGATTATGCACATAAAGTTTTATGGTTCAAAGCAGCTAGACGTGATATTCCTAAATCAAAATCAATGTTTTTTTGTTGCGAGGATCATTTTAATGAAAGTACGAACAAAAAGCTAA